GTTGTTGTATTTTAAGTGATCAATACAAGGTTTATTTATAAAAATGTGTAATGAATATAAAATATTACAATAAAGATACAATCTCTCCTATAAAGAAAAATAAATAATAACTAAAACATAGTAGATTATCTCATTCCGCATGGCAATAGTAACAATTCACACTTTGCACACTGTAACTCTAGTCTCTATACACACATAAACACTACAAATCTAAATAATAAAACTAAATACTAACTATTGTAATATGAGTAATGCTATATTTACACCACTCTTATACACTATTTTCATTACATTATGATCATTGTTTTAAAAGTCGGACCGGCGACCAACCCGCTCTGATGGCCGGGTCACGGTTCAACTGGTTGGACCGTCGGTTGGACAGGTGATGTCATCAGCACATTTTTTAAAAAAAAAAAAATTTAGATTTCTATTTTTTAATAAGACAATAACAATTTAATTATTGTCCAATCCAACATGATTCAAAGTTCAAATTCAACAACAGTCCTAACATAATTTAAGTATTTATCTACCTATCTACCTATCAAATACGAAACAAGCGACATAATAGATTTACCAAGCAAATATCGAATACGAAACTGTATAGACAGAATAAAATGCATAAATCATAAAAAACACAGAACACCAGTTGCCAATCAAAGCAGTTAAGTATCCATAGGCAAAATCTGTACTGGTTAGCGTAAATAAGTATCAATGAAGCGACATTCAGTGTAAATAAAAATGCCAAAACAAATAATCAAGCTTAAAAGATTTTAAAATAGAACTTGTTAGTGTAAATATTTAGACTTCAACTCCACTCGATTTTCTCGTATGGTGAGAGTTCTGCACTCGAAAGAAGACTTGCTGTTTGATTTAAAGGATTTGATGTGTTGACAAATTATAACGAATACACGGGAAATGTGTCGGCTACTATATTATAAACTCCACTGTATGCTAACAAAATGTAAAGTCCATATATGAAACAATGAAAAATCACTACTTTTATATTTAGGTAATGTAACAAAATGGTTGACACAAAAGTTTCAACACTTTTGTCCAGCAAGAAATTTCCAACTATTGGTATTATACTTGTAGTTTGCAAGATCTAAAATAGAAGCATATCAATATAGTTATACTGAAATAGGCTTGATAAAAGTAATATGGACAAGAAAGGGGAAGCAATAAACACTATCCAGCTGTATTATCACACTTGATATTGATCAACACAAATCTTCTGCAAATATTTTTCTATTTTTCCTCAACTTTTTAATTTATTAGTAGTGAAACCACTCTTAAGTTTAATGTCAGAATAAGTAACTCAACATATAATTATTTCCTCTGAAATAAGTATAATCCAGAAATGACATTTCAATATGCAATATAAATCTTGCTAGAGTTCAAACAATTGATTAGCCATCAAAAACTTGATATGCGTGCGGCAATCTATTATTATTACTACTATGTTTTGATACAATTCAGATCAAGATAAAGCTAAGTTGATGACAAAACCTAAGGGTGAAAATGACAAACAAGAATCTAAATTAATAATATAGAATACTACAACTTGTTAACGGACTAAAATTGTGGGACAGATGGAATAATAGTTATTGGTCATAAAAACATGTTCATATATAATTTCCAATAACCAAGTCTAAACTTCAGTTATACATACATGATACAACCATCCACTATCTGTATACCAACATCATTATCTAACAATATTTCAAATTGGAAATTCACAATTAAAAAGTACAGATAATGGATCAATGATGAGTTTGTCCTGAACAAATAATGATCAAATACCCATTCTAGAGACTTTACCTTCTTTAGGATGCAAGTTTTTTCACCTCCTTCAGGAAGAGTAAGATCTAGATGTGATTAATTTCCAATAACCAAGTCTAAACGTCAATGAATGGAGTTGTCGCCGTCGATTTCCAGCGAGGGACAAAGCTGTCGTCGTCGATTTTCGGGGAGGGAGGAAGACGTCGTCGATTTCCGACGAGCGAGAACGATTTCAGAGAGTTCAGATGCGATTTGGGTAGGATTTTAGAGAGAAATCTTCGCAGAGAACAGACAACTCCACTCGAAGCTGAAAATTTTTTGCAGAGAAGAGAGAAGAAGCTAAGAAATTTGCGTAAGAAACTGAGAGAGATGAAGTGAACGCGATGAGAAGAAGGCTGCGGGCATTAGATATAGGGATTTTTAATTGGACCAGTTTATCAGTCGGTCCGGTTGGACCGGCAGTTCGCTGAAAAGATCCGGTTTTTTAACGGTTTAATGCGGTCCATTGCTTATAAACAGTTTTAAGATTAACCCGAACCGGACACGTAACCGGGTCCCGGTCCAACCGATTGGACCGGCCGGTCCGGTCTGGCTTTTAAAACAATGGTAGCCGGTAGGACGAGCGTTGGGATATGTGGTTAAGGCGCACGGTCACAAGTTTGAATCCCACTGACTCTCAAGATTTAAGTAGGTGATCATAACCAGTGGCAGACCCAGGATTTTTGGCTAGAGGGGGCTTCCGTGGCTCCACCATTGTTTGTCAAACAACTAGTGAAAAATTAAAAAAAATCAACAAATCTTAAGCAAAGGAAATAATTTAATATCAATAATCTGAAAGAAAATAATATAACAACACAATATTTTACCATTTGAATAAATCTATGAGAAGCAAAACCTTGAGCAAATTATGTTGAAAATAACATTCAATTTACGAGGAAACACAAGAAAATTTTTACATGAAAAAACCTCTTTAATTAAAGAGGGCAAAATACCATAAGAATCTAACAATTCATTTAAATCCAATATAACTAAAAGAGTTTACAACGATCACAATCCACCAAAAATGTTTTATACAAATTTCTTATTTATCCTCTTTTTTTTCTTTTAATTTTTTTTCAAAGATTATAATATAAATTTTCATGAGTTTGATCAGGTCTAGCCTAAGCTAAAGTCAACCAAAATTTAAATTAAGTCAACGTTGTCTTGACTTTTAATATGAATTAATAAAAAAAGGGAAAATTTCTTTAGTATAAACATAGATAATAACTCAAACTTCTTTAATAACTTTGAGCAACTAAACGGTGTCGTTTGAAATGTAAGAAAGTGGTGGGTGAATGGTGAAGAATAACGTTAAGTAAAAATAGTTAAGATTTAATTTGGGAAAGCATGAACGTTTTTAAACACAAAATACAAAACAAACTCACAAGATCCAAGCTTTTTTCCATCAAATTGGAATAAAAAACCTCCAAAAAATAAACGTGATTCAATCCTAAAATAAACTAAAATGAAATGAGCAATACATATATCTAAAATTGAGAAAACGGAAAACGAAGCTAATTGTGGCACCTTGATGAGTGAAAGTTTCAACAATTTCAATTTTCAAAAGTTTTAAGAACGAATAACATTAAGAAAGTGAATGAGAGAATGAGAGAATAAAGAATTTTAAGGATAAAATCATAAAAAACAGATGGACGTAGAAAAGAGTGGAGATAATTTTAAATTTTTAATATGATGGAAGCATGGAATATATATATTAATTGCAAATTTTTTATGAGTCTCTATATATGTATAATATTTCTCATTTTTTTAAAATTTGAAGATAGACATATATATATATATATATATATAATTTTTTTACGGGGTCTATATAAATAATTTTTTTTTCAAAATGTGAGGCTTACCCTCCAATGGGCTGGGTCCACCCCTGATCATAACAATGGGATGTTGTGATAGTTATTACAAGGTTTAATTGAGGTGCATGCAAAATGGTATGGACATCCTGTTTCCAAAAAAAAAGAAAAAAATTATGTGAAGTTATCCTTTCAATCTCCCATGTGGTAGAGAACATGTGATATTTCCTTGATTAGAAGCCAACTTTAATTTTGCTTCTTGTGCATGCCATTCTCTTAAGACCACATTTTAAGTAGATCATGACCCTTGGAAGTAGGGTAACAGAGCTCTTTCAAGGCCTCTTTGTTTTTCAGAATGAATAAAGAGGACATAATTTTTTTAGCTCTTTTAATACTAATCAATCTAATATGTTAATAAATATTAATCATAAAATTACATATAATTTCTTACTTGGGTAGTTCCCTTTTCNTACTGATGGATGAACATTTACATCAAGACTTGGTTATGAAAATAAGAATTTACTTATCAAAATCATTAATTTATTAAATTGAAACCTCATCCATCCATCCAACGTTATAGACGATAAGAATGAAAGCCAAAATATGAATAATAGAATATTATATACAATAAAAGATAAATATATTTTTTACCCATTTATTTCATTTTAGTACTGAGATATGTTTGCAGGAAATTTTGAAAAGTGACATTTTATGTTAAAAGAAGGATATGTGTCAGCAGAAATTCTTTGTTATGCGTTTGGATTACTAATTACATCCCTCTAGCACCGACCTGTAATTCTCTTTTATATGAGTAAACAACTTTTCCCACCCAAGGTTTGCCTTACCGCCACTCTCACACTCAAAAAATTTCAAAATATCATTTTCCCACCAAAAGTTTATATTCTATTACTACTCAATGCCGGTTCCAACCGCAAAAATTATCTTTGTTACCATTATTTAAATCTCCGGTCTCCTTTATACAAAACCTCTCTCACTTTAGTACTTGATTTCTCATCACTTGTCAGACACTGCAAAGTTAAGGTTTTATGTTCTTAGCTGATTTTCGACTGATTTTGACAACAAATATTCAATCAGTCACCACTATTTGATCCACCAACCTTCACTCTACAAAACTACTTCTATCCTAGCTCTTGGTAACTTGCTGAACTTTGGCTGAAAACGTGAAATGTATTTTGAGTATTAATAGAATATAAATTTTGAGTGAAAAAGTGGTATTTTAAAACTTTTTGGGTAGAAAAATTATTAAGGAAAACCTTGGGTGGGAAAAAGTCGTTTATTCCTTTTATATCTCTCTTTATTCTCCATCACAACAACCCATCCACATTCCAGACAATCAATTTTTAACATTCAATGGGTGACCCAAAGAACTCCGCCACGCCATCAACCACCACGATCACGACCGCCATCCCGCCCTACACGCGTCCGTTACCTGATTCCTGGAGTCGGAAGAAATCACAGTTCTCTACTATCATTGATGCTCTCAACGCTATTCCTAATAAAAAGCACCGTACTGATGTTCAATGCAAGTCTCGCAAGGATTATATCAAGAAAATACACGAGGCCAAGAAGAGACCTGCCACATCCACCTCTTCCAACAGAAGAATCCTAAAATCTTCTTGGCCGTTTCCCGAGTATATGGACACCTTGATGGCGAATAGAGCCTCGGCTCATCTGCTGAAGCTTATGCTGGTAAAACCCTAATACACTAATTAATGATAATTCTCGATTTTTTATTCTGATAAATTTTTCCCCGGCAAAGGCCGTGCAGCAAGTGGTGAACGATGTTCCATATCCAACATCCAGGTACTGTTTAAAAGTCTGTCTGTTGATGTTATGTTTAAGTGCCCTCTAATTATGAATTTTTTTCTTGATTTCTCAAAATGGTGTTCTATAGAACAATTCTTATTGTGTGCTGCATGCAGCTTTCATAGAAAGGAGCAAGCTACAGCAGTTAATGAGGTGACGACGCCAGTTTCATCAACACTGACTTCACCATCTCGATTGGGTTACGGTTTTTCCTCGCTTCCGTTAACTGTACGTGCTCGTGCCCGTATAGATTCCTGTAGCGAAGAGGCCCGTCTATCTTCCTGGAGCCAAGAGGCTACCTTTACTCTCATTGAAGCCTGGGGCTGCCGTTGTATGGAGCTCATCCGAGGTAATCACCATCAAAAGAATTGGCAACATGTAGCCGACGCCGTCAAAGCACTTCACGCTAAGTCTGAGAAAAAGCACCGGACTCGTTTTTAATGCAGGTTTCGCATGGATTCTGTAAAGAAAAGGTACAAAATCGAGAAGGCACGTATCACCTCCTCGAACCGAACCCTAAAATCTTCTTGGTCGTTTTTCGAGCGCATGGACGCCTGGATAACAGTAGGAGAACAGGCTGATCTGCAAAACCTTATGAAGGTAAAATCCGTAATACACTTCATCAATTAATAATAATTCTGATCCTGTGTGATTCTTGATCAAGCTAAATTTTCTACTGATTTAGGGTTTGAGCATTGCACCGGCACAGCAAGTAGCCACAGCATTCCCACCAGTTTCATCAACACCGGCCTCACAATCTGGAGAGGATTACGGTTTTTCCTCATTGTCTCTTGCCTAAAGCAGTGTTAATGGTTGTCTATTATTTAGTACAGTAGATTAGTTTTCAGTGAGATTGATTTTAATCTTCATACTTTTTGGAAACCATAAAAGATTATCATGTTTTTAATATTTTACAAAGGTTTTAGATGATTTTTTGAAGAGACATTAATTAAAGTACTTTTACAAGATAACCCCAAGAATTGGCCTGACGATCAAAGAGATTTGTCACGATAATATTATGACTTATCAGTTATTGTGGTTTACTTGGTTCTTTTACGTTTGTAAAATGTTTAATAGATCCCGAAGATTAGTTACAAAATACATGAAGTTAATCCTAAAATAACATATGTATTCCATTGAAAATTTTGAAAATTGGAACCACCCCTTGTGGCCTAATGAAGTGAAGGATGAATTGACGAGTTAAAAGACCAAAGAGTCTTAGATTCAAGTTGTAGCAAAAACAAAGAGTGACCACCGATTACCATTAAAAAAAAAAAAAAAGGCTCACCACGAAGAGTATATTACTGTAGCATTTCCAATGAAATTCATAGGAGAAATAAACATATTACATTTACTATTCTAAAGAAATCATATCTCAACGTTTGTATCAAAACTTGAGCTTGTGTTTTAAAAGGGAAAGCAAGTTTCAAGACATAATATATACTTAGAATTCTAAAATATAATACCCGGCAATGATAAACACATATTTTCCCAATTATTTCATATTATACCCGGCTATGCTTGCACAAAATTATGAAAAACTGACATGTTATTATAATGAAGGAAATGTGTTCAGAAGAAAATTTCTTATTATAAATTTAATTACTGTATAATTATTCTCCTTCCGTCGTCCCATCGCACTGACCTCTAAATCTCTTTTATCAATAGTGTCACATTATCACATTATATATGAATGATGTGTTACAAATCTTTTATTATCATATTTATTAAGTCCATTTTGTATACAAATTTATCCATTATCTTTTTGTATATATATTTCAACTAATCCTTCAGAGCTTTGAAGTTGATGACTAGATAAACTTCTCAGTGACCACCCTTATTAACCCCTATGGAGATTCTATGGAGATTCGAGCTCAAGAGCTCATAAAACCTCCTTCCTAGTGGTGGTTTTTTATATTCTCTCTTTCTTCTTCGTCACAAGATATTGTCAGAAAACAAGAGAGAAGACAGAGTAGTAGTTCAATACTATGATACTGCCAGAGTGTGTCAAAGAGAAAGAGAGAAGAGAGAAGAGAAAATGTATTTTCTGTATATATGTATAAGCCTGTACAATAGCCAATTTATACAAATTTTGTAAATGTAGAAAAGGAAATTAATAAATACAAATAAATGTAATTTATTTAATCAATCTTATAAATTTTTATGATTGATTGAATGCTAAAATCACTCCTTGATCTCTTCCAGCAGAGATCAAGGAAAAGCTGTGCATTCCATATTTCCACACTCCCCCTCAAGCTTGTGGTTTGTAGATATCAAAAACCCCAAGCTTGCTAAGTAGATATGAATGTTGTCTACTGCATAATGGCTTTGTAAAAATGTCTGCTGGTTGTTCTGAAGTACGAATGTGCAAAGTCTTAATTACCCCTTCTTGTATTTTGTTTCTGACAAAGTGGCAATCAATTTCTATATGTTTTGTTCTCTCATGGAATATTGGATTTGCTGCTATGTCGTTTGCAGCTTTGTTGTCACGGTATAAAAGGACAGGTTTTCTTACTTGTACCTTTAGATCTTCTAATAATCCCAAAATCCAAATGATTTCATATGTTGTTTTTGTCATGGCTCTATACTCGGCTTCTACTGAAGACAGAGATACTGTTGATTGTTTCTTAGTCTTCCAAGAAATAAGAGCTCCCCCTAGCTTGATACAGAAGCCTATAAGTGATTTTCTTGTCATCGGACATGTGGCCTAGTCTAAGTCACAATGGGCTGTGATATCCATATTCTTTTCTCGAGGAAGGAGGAGTCCCAAACCAGGACACCCTTTTAAGTATTTTAGAACCTTTATCGCTGCATCCATGAGATTGTTTAGGCCCATGCATGAACTGGCTAAGGATGTAAACTACTTAGCTAATGTCTGGACGAGTCATAGTGAGATAGATTAATCGCCCAACAAGTTTCTAATACTTTGTAGAGTCTTCTAGAGGCGGATCCTCTTTGGAGGATGATATTCCACTTTCATATTCCTGAGTAGTCAGTTTTGTATTCTATTCTACTGGAATAATACTTGGCTTGCATCCTGATAGCCTTGAATCAGAGATGAGTTCCAAGACATATTTCCGTTGGCTAAGAGATATTCCTGCCAGGGATCTTCCAATTTCAATGCCTAGGAAATACTTTAGGTCTCCTAGATCCTTTATTCGGAACTGTTGTTGAGATGCTCTTCTAAGGATTTGATGTCTGCTTCATCATTTCCTGTAATAAGAATGTCATCAACATAGATTATGAGAGCAATGAAAGTTTTACCTTTGTGCTTGGTAAAAAGTGCATAGTCGTGTATGGACTGAATAAATCCTATGCAAGTGAGAGCTTTATTGAATTTTTCATTCCATTGCCTAGATTTTTTTTTTTAGCCCATAAAGGGATTTTCCCAGATGACACACTGTGTTCTCCCCCTGTCTGCGAAATCCCGGAGGAAAAGCCATATAAATTTCCTCATGAAGATCACCATGAAGGAAAGTGTTATGAACATCCATTTGGTGGAGAGGTCAATCACGAGTAGAAGCCACTGTAAGGAAAGCACGAACAGTAACATGTTTGGCTATTGGGGAGAAAGTGTCCTGATAATCAAATCCTTCACGCTGAGTGTATCCCTTGGCTACTGATCGGGCTTTATAGCATTCAATAGAGCCATCCGCACAATACTTGATTTTGTATACTCATTTACAACCAATAGGTTTTCTATGGAAGGGGCGAGGCACTAGATCCCAGGTATGATTCTGTGTGAGAGCTGTAAGTTCAGCAGCCATGGCTTGACGCTAGTGAGGGTGTTGAATAGCATCTGAGTAACTAGTGGGTTCTCGTTCGATAAAGATGTGACTGATACAAGCTCTATGTAGAGGAGAAAGTCTATCATAACTCACATAATTGGAGGTAGGATGTATTGTACCTGAAAGATCTGAAATGTTGGGACATTCGAAATCTGATGCTCAGATGGGTGGTCGAGTATGTCGAGTACTGCGATGTATAGGAGCAATTGGAGCTGGAGCAGGGGATCTTGATGGAGAAACAAGAGGAAGGTGCTGAATTTGGGAATCTGCTGGAGAACTATCAGGTGTTGATGTGTCAAAGTCAGCGGTAGGAACTGTGGGCTGAGTGACCGGTGGAGTCGACATCATTGTGAATAGAGGATCTGGAAGAGTATCTGTGGCAGGAAACAACTTGTGTGATGATGAGGGAACAGTATCATGTGTGGCAAAAGGAAAGATGTCTTCATGAAAGACAACATCTCTGGAGATCAAAAACCTCTTGTCAACTGGATCATACAATCTGTAACCTTTTCTGAAGCATAGGATATCCCATAAAAATACAGCGGGTGGCTCGGGAACCAATTTTGTCATGTGATCCAAGAGTAGCAGCATAACAAAGACAACCAATAACTCGAAGGTGGTCCAGAGTTGGTTGTTTCTTGAATAATACCTCATAAGGAGTTTTCCATGAAGGATTCTGGTTGGCATGCGGTTGATCAGGTATGTAGCTGTGATCACACATTCACCCCAAAAAGAAACGGGCATATGGGCTTGGTGTTTGAGGGCACAGGCTACTTCTAGGAGGTGACGATGTTTTCTTTCGACAACCCCATTTTGTTGTGGAGTATATGCAAGAGCTTTCATACAGGATGCCAAGTGATGAAAAGAGGGATGAACAATTATTATTAAAAAAGTCTCTAGCATTGTCAGTTCTAACCCTTTGGACGGAAGTATGAAATTGGGTGGTGACCATGACTAGGAAATTTGTGATGTGGGTAAGTGTTTGGGTTTTGGATTGCATGAGGAATGTCCATGTACCCCGTAAAAAATCATCAACAATGGTAAGGAAAAATTGTGATGTGGGTGAGTGTTTGGGTTTTGGATTGCATGAGGAATGTCCATGTATCCCGTGAAAAATCATCAACAATGGTAAGGAAAAATCTGGATCCATCGTGATTTGGGGTGTGGTATGGGCCCCAAATATCAAGATGGATTAGGGTAAAAGGCTGGGTTGTAGTGGAGGTGCTGTGTGGAAAAGTAATGCGGGCTAGTTTTGCTAAGGGACATATGGGACAATGAGGTTGAGGAATAGTTGCACTGTGACCTAATCTTTAGTAAAGAATAAAAGAGTTTTTATTAATCATTGCATTACAATTGATCATTTTATTTGTTGTAATACAAGGAGAAAGAAAATTAGAAGACTCAGCGAGTGCCCAGTAGTATAGACCTCTATCAACCTTACCCAAGCCCATCAATTTCCCAGTCAAAGGGTCCTAAAATTTACATGTGTTAGGACAAAACTCAACAGTACAACTATTATCTGTACAAAGTTTGGATACTAAGATGAGGTTAAAATGGAAAGCAGGGACATAGATCACATTCTTAATGAATAATTTGTCAGATAATTTGACGGTCCCTATGTGAGTGGCAGGGGTTATGTTTCCGTTTGGCATA